ACATCATCTCCAAGTGCCATTGGAAGCGCCGCTGGTAGTCAGCGACGCAACCCAACACACTGCGCGGCCCAGCCCCTCTCGCTCGTACCCCGCGAAATGTCGCTGACGTGAAAACCCCCCAACAGTCGGACGGAGAAGACGATACCAAGTCCCAAGTCAGCGCGGCCGCCGAGGTCGAGGTCTCCGCGGATGCGTCCGGCGGCAAGGGCCAGATGAGCGTGCTCGAGGCGCTCAAGGGCGTCCTTAAGCTCGCTCTCATCCACGACGGTCTTGCCCGTGGTCTGCGCGAGGCGTCCAAGGCGCTCGACCGCCGCGAGGCGCACATGTGCGTCCTCAACGAGGCATGCGAGGAGGAGGCGTACAAGAAGCTCGTTGTTGCCCTGTGCTCCGAGCACAAGATTCCTCTGATCAAGGTCCCTGATGGCAAGCAGCTCGGCGAGTGGGCTGGTCTCTGTACGTTTTTTTCTTTTCTTTTCTTTTCCCTAGGATGTGGGGAACATCATGTGGCTAACAAGCATGTCTACAGGCCAGATTGACCGTGAGGGCAACCCCCGCAAGGTCGTCAACTGCTCTTGCGTCGTCGTCAAGGACTGGGGTGAGGAGTCCCAGGAGCGCAGCATCCTCCTCAACTACTTCCAGACCGAGCAGTAAACGTCCGTATCTCGTTTCCTCTACGAGAACTACGACGGCCTCCCATGCACACTTCGACGACCTCGCCCTTCTTTTTTTTTCAACTTTTTCCCTTCGGCAATGGTCAAGAATCTTCGGCTGCTCTCTGTTCGGTTTCCGGGTCGGGCATGGCAATGGAGTTTGATGGGGAAATGTGAGGGGTGAACGATGTGATGGGGTTGTATGGAATTAGACTGGCCTCTTTTTCTTCGTCTTGAGAAGAGAGCCGTGATACCAATTGAGAAAGGATTCAACGTATTTTTTGCTGTGTGCCACATATGCCTGATGATTGATTGATTGATTGACCCCACTTGTATTGACGTGTTTTTTTTTCTCGTGCAGTGATGTACTCTAGAGTTGTGTTAGGGCTCCGTAGTAGACAAAACGCCAATTTTCTAGGAAGAAGAGGAAGGCATTTTTTTTTCACACATGTTCAGCACGTCATCTCATATAGTCCTGCTATATTGTTTTTCTCTCTCCATAATATCTATACCACGTACATAACACGTTACTCGCTCTCCCTCATTCCTTTTTGCTTCTCAGAAGAAGCAAAGAAGAATCCAAATATATACATGCTATACTATGCAAGACCGTGAATCTCCCAAAAGAAAAAAAAAGGTTATGTGTCTCAAATATGCGATTTCCTTGTATTTCATACCCCCCAAAAACTCAGCTTGCTTCCTTTCTACTTCCTTTCTACTTCCAACTACTCTCACAGCCTTCCACTCCCCCTTCCACCATGCACAATCCTTTCAAACAACAACAAAAAGGTGGTCTAGTCTAGTCCACCTTAGACATCCCTCACTCTCCCCCTTGGAATCTCCGTCTCCACCATTTCCAACCCACTCAAACTAGGGTACCGCTTACTAAACGTATCCACATCGAGATCATCGGCTTGCTGACTTGCCAGCGACGACGGCAGGGGCTTGTTGGCGATACTATCTTTTGCAGAAGCCTTGGTAGGGGAGGTAGATGACAAGGAGGGCGAAGAACCGGGGGTGCCTGTCTGCAGGGCTTTTGGTTTGGGCGCGCGGGGAGGTGGACCAGAGGGGTTACGCATGTTGTTGATTGTTGGGGGAGCAGAGGCAGAGGGGACGGGAGGGGGCATGTTGGGTCGGATTGACGAGGGCTTGGTGTAGGCCATGTCTTGTGGTTGGGGCTGAGAAGGCACGTTTACGGGTTTTCGGGCGATGGCGGGGGGTTGAGTGCGGGAGGGGGTGCCGCTTTGATCCTGGGGTCGCAGGGGAAGGGGCTTGCCGGTGTCGGTGTATTTGCCGTAGCCTTCGGCTGTGCGGTTGGTGGGAGTTGGTTTGCTGCTTTCGTCCAAGAGGTTCTTGACACGGTCTTGGATGGTTGAGGCTTTGGATGGACCGGGCTTTACCTTTCCTTGAGCCTGGGATGCCACTCGTTGTTTGTACTCTGCTGCTGCGGCTTCTACGCGACGTTCTTCCTCTGCCAACTGTCTCTTTTCCAACTCCCTTCGGACCTCTGGTGACAGGTCTTGCGTTTCGTCAATGGCGCTGCGGTCATCGTCGCTTAATCCACCTGTCGTCTCCGAGCCAGCAATAGGGGTCAGACCACCCTTGGAGCTCAGGTGTTGGTGATCGACCGGGGTTAGAGGCGGCTGATCACGCTCATGCTCAGGTGTCTTGTGGGTTGTCTCAAAGCGCCGGAAAGCGTCGCCAAACTTGCCCTTGACAATGTTGGTCAAGCTTCCGCGTTTACCGTGCTTGGAGTGTGAACTACTGCGGCGATGCTTGTGGCCATGCTCTTCCTGCTCGATGCTTCGGAGAAAGTCTACGCTTGATCGTACATTGATTTCTTCAGGCTCTGAATCATCTACTGCATTTGAAGTTGTACGGCGTAGCAACGACGGAGCATCAAAGCTGCGACCGCCCGTCATTTCTCGATCACGTAGATAGTCGAGGTTCGACTCCACGTGTATGCTAACTGGGCGCGAATTTGAGTTTGCAGACCTTGACCGATCTATAGCAGAGCCAAGCTCCATGTTAGATGGGCGCTGGCTCTCCAATGAGGGCCTTGCCGATGCAGGCGATCTCGGAATGCTAAGCTGAGACTTTGATCTTGATTCCAGCACCGGGCGCGGGGGCAAAGCGAATTCGGGCTTTAGTGCTGGGCTGGAAAGAGGGCTTGATGGCGGCTTCTCAAACGAGCGCGTATGGCTCATGGTTCGGCTGTGTTGCGAGGTCAGAGGAACCTTCCAGATTGGGCGGCTGTTGACGTCTGGGTACTTTTGTGAAGGAACAGGAGATGCCCGTGGGGATGTTTGCACCCCAGTAGATACCATGTTGACTCTCTGTGGAATGGGCTGCTGTATGCCCTGTTGGTTGGTAGAGTGTGGGCTATCATTGGCCTCACGGGGCGCAGATTTCCTTAGTGATGTAGCTCTGGAAAGGCCTCCTGAGGAGACAGTCGAGGGCTTCACTCCAGGTGTCGAGTCGACAGCTGGGGGTGAAGGGGATGCAAAAGCTTCATCTGCCAGTGCCTCTGTGACCCGCTTGGACAGTGCCGGATCAGAAGACGTGGGTGCTTCGCCAAATTCAAACTTTTGGCCGCGGTCGTGCAGCAGAGAGAACTCGTCCAGCGAGGGAAAGCGAGATGCAAGCTCGTCGGCAGCAGCACGCCTCACTTGGACATCTTGAGAGTCTAGTGCCGCAAAGGGGTCTGAGGTAGTTCCCCTTATAGGCGACGGGCTGGGCTTGACTCCTGGTGGGGGTTGGTCCGTTGGTCCAGTAGGCCGTCCTCTCCTCATTGGCGTTATATCTGGCAACTGTTGAACCTGGACAGTGGGAGCAACTCTTTGCAGACCCACGACAGGAGGGGGTGTAGAGACCTGAGGCTCCGAAGGAGGTAGCTGCTGGTTCTGGCGGGTTTCTGATTGGGTCCTGCCAGTATAGATCTAGCATGTCTTAGCAGCAGACAGTCGAACCAGTATCTTATACATACGTCTTTGATGGGGATTGGCCGGTGGCGCATTGAGCAGACTTCGGCAACGACCTGGTAAATGTTTGGTCGATGCTGGGGGTTTTCACGCAACATGGAACCTGCCCAGGGTTAGCCATGGCAAGAAGCCTGTTTTCTACAGCCTACACACCTATGAGTGCCTTTATGCGGTCTGAAAACTGAGGGTATGCCGGGTACTTGAACGAGGCATTCAAAATGGCCATTTGCCCCACCTCTTCAAAGGGGGTAGTGTAGTAGCACAGTTTGTATAGCAAGACGCCCAGGGCCCAGATGTCGCTCTTTTCGTCGATTGGCTGCTTGCGGTAGACGTCAATCATTTCGGGACTGCGGTACTGGAGGGTGGTGTGGCGTTGGACGTCTTCTTCAATCAGCCTCCCCTCTGCAGCAGTCGAGGCGGGCGGGCGCGGGGGTGCGGTGGAGCCAAAGTCACAGAGCTTGTATACTTTGTTGCCGCCGACGGTGGTGATGAGGACGTTTTCGACCTTGAGATCACGGTGGAGGAGGGGTGGTTTGAGGTAGTGCATAGTCGCAACGCCCTCGACGACGTCGGAGAAGATGTGCAGAATCTCGGGCTCCGTCAGGCGGTGCTGCAGCCTGGTGTTCATGAAGTCGATGAGGCCACCGCCCGAGCAAAACTCCATGAGCAGGAAGACCTCGTATCCGCCCGACTTGAGTTGGGATGCATGCGAGTCCATGTAGGTGACGATTTTGCTGTGGCCCTTGAGCTTCTTCATGGTCTCGACCTCTGTGCGCATATTTGCGAGGGCCTCCTTGTCCGCACATGCCACGCGCTTGAGGACTGCAGTCTCTGGCGTCTTTGGATCCGACTTTGGTACGCGGACGAGGTAGACGTGGGCAAAGCCACCCTCGGACAGGTACTTTTCGATTGTGACGCGGTGGTTGCCGACCTGGACTTTAGTGCCCGGGGCAAAGGTGCCCGGGGGCGCATTGGAGACGGCAACGGGGCCTGGGGCGCGGTATGCGGCCTGTTGGGCCATGGGCATGGCGTGCGAGGGAGCATAGCGAGCCGACGACATGATGGGCGGTGAGGGAGGCTGCAGCAGAGCAGGCAGAGGACGGGGAGGCTATGTCTTTGGCATCGAGAAGACAGGCAGCAGGGCAGGGCGGGCCAGCAGGTGGCGGAGGGGCAGGAGAAGTGTGGTGGTGAATAGATGTGGCATGCGCCCGAGATGGGTGTAATGGGGGAGCGAGGGTCGTGAACGGACCCCTGCAAGTTGGTGGGCATGGGCAAAGCCACGGCCGGGCAACGTCACAGTTCATGTAAGTGTATGTGTATGTATGCACATGTGGGTGTGTGTGTGTGTGTGAGTGAGTGAGTATATTGTCTAGTCCATGACATGCCTAGGGCCGGGCATCCAAGTCACGCACTGCTCGACATGTGCTTGGGCTGGCCAGGCGCGAACCTGAGGGCTGCCAGTGCGAAGAGAAGCAACATGACCGTGGCCATCTGCCGCCAAGCCCCAACACCACTCTTTGCTCGCCGCCTCCTGATTGGGCCGGGCCGTGGCTGCCTGACCACTTGAGGCGGTGGACATGGACGACGGACGAGTGTGTATACGACCAGTCTGTGTGCAGTATACTATCCATCTACGTGTGCATATCCATCCACACATGCTACATACATGAATAGCACACAATAGCCGTCTCTGCTGCCAACGTGTTTAGCAAGCACCACGATGCTGCTACTACTGTTGTTGAGCCCTCTCGACACGTCGCCGGATCCACGCTGCAGGCTGGCCAGGCGAACACGTCTGGGCGATGACGAGGCGATGCCACAAAGAGGCGGGCGGCGGTACCTGAGCAGACAGGACGTCGCCATGTACTTGGCGTGGATAGCCAGTGCGTGTCACTGGCAATTGCTTTTGCAGCCCTGAAACGTGTGGGGAGGGGGGGATCAAGTCTTAACCAGCGCAGGGCAAATGTCGGGGCTCGAGGCAGCCGTGATGCCGACGAGACGAGGGCACTGGCACTGGCACTGACATGCATTTGATGGGAGACAGAGACAGTCGTCGTGGCAGAGAGAGGAGAGGGCGCAGTCCAGGGCCGTTGGCGGCCATGTGACGGCATTGCGGCGTTGGGCCGACGACAAGAACGGCACTGATGATGCTGCTCCTGGGCCAGCAACCACTCTTTCGTCACTGCCCAGCCCCGTTGAAACCCTTTGTTTCCCACGGCCTTGCGCTGCTGAGCCCTCAAAGGCCTTGTATACATACTCGTGTGCCTCTATTTACACACAAACCCATAGCCATATTTAGGCTCGCCCTCGGCCTTTGCTCCCTAGTCCTGCCACTGCCGTTCTCCTGTTGCTGTGCATGTCTGCGTCGTCAGCCTCCTCCCGCCTGCCTGCCTGCATCTCTGCCTGACTCGACCCCCCAACCGCCCCATCCGCATTCCGCATTCCGCACCCGCAACAACAACCCTAATACCCTACCCGCCGACCACACTACAGACAAACCCCCCCGCACCTCACACTACACCCATCCACCCACCCACCACAAACCCTTGCGAGCCCACCATTACCATGGCCATGGCCCAGCACCCAAACATGGCCCGCGTCAGACACTCGCGCCGACCTCAGCGAGATGCCAGCGCCTCACGCTCAGACTCGTCAGCCTCCACCTCGCCCGAGCGTGGCTTCGACGACGACGAGGACAAGGACTCGGTCATGCTGCAGTCAAACGACTCCCTTTCCTCGCTCGCCCCCTCACTGTCGCCAGACTCGGACGACGATGCCCGCAGGCGCGCCATCGAAGAGCAGAACCGCGTCTCGCCCATCTCCCGCCTCCCCGCCGAACTCATGATCGCCGTCTTCGCAAAACTCTCCTCCCCCACCGACCTCAAGAACTGCATGCTCGTCTCCAAGACATGGGCCGGTAACAGTGTCGGCCTGCTGTGGCACCGCCCCTCGACAAACAAGTGGTCAAACGTCCAGAGCGTCATCCGCACTGTCCAGACCTTCAACAGCTTCTTCGACTACAGCAGCCTCATCAAGCGCCTGAATCTGGCCGCCCTCGGCCACGAGGTCAGCGACGGCACCCTCAAGCCTCTCTCCAGCTGCAAGCGTGTTGAGCGCCTCACGCTGACCAACTGCACAAAACTTACCGACCTGAGTCTGGAGGCCATGCTCGAGGGCAACAGATACATCCTCGCCCTCGACGTTACAAATGTCGAGTCCATCACCGACAGGACCATGCTCACTCTGGCTCAGCATGCTGTGCGCCTGCAAGGCCTCAACATTACAAACTGCAAAAAAATCACCGACGAGTCGCTCGAGGCTGTCGCCAAGAGCTGCAGGCATCTCAAGCGCCTCAAACTCAATGGCTGCTCCCAGCTTAGCGACAGGAGCATAATTGCCTTTGCCCGGAATTGCCGCTACATGCTCGAGATTGACCTCCACGACTGTAGGAACCTCGACGATGCATCAATCACGACTCTCATCACCGAAGGCCCTAACCTCCGCGAATTGCGCCTGGCTCACTGCGCCAAAATCACAGACCAAGCCTTCTTGCGCCTTCCGGCAGAGGCCACCTACGACTGTTTGCGCATCCTCGATCTGACTGACTGTGGGGAACTTCAAGATGCCGGAGTTCAGAAGATCATCCAAGCCGCTCCACGACTTCGCAACCTGGTCCTCGCCAAGTGCCGCAACATTACGGACCGAGCCGTCATGGCCATCACACGTCTCGGCAAGAATCTGCACTATATCCACCTTGGCCACTGCTCGCGCATTACAGATGTCGGTGTTGCGCAATTAGTCAAGTTTTGTAACCGCATCCGCTACATTGACCTGGCATGCTGCACGGCCCTGACAGACGCTTCCGTCACTCAGCTTGCAAGCTTACCCAAGCTCAAGCGCATTGGCCTGGTCAAGTGCGCCGCCATCACAGACCGCAGCATATTCGCCCTTGCCAAGCCAAAGCAAATTGGCACTTCTGGCCCTATTGCCCCCAGTGTGCTCGAGAGAGTACATCTGAGCTACTGCATCAACCTGTCCTTGGCTGTAAGTTTTTTTTCTTATTGTATTGTCTCACTTCTTGCTAACAACATCAGGGCATTCACGCTCTCTTGAACAACTGCCCCCGCCTGACCCATCTTTCTCTCACTGGCATCCAGGCCTTTCTACGCGAAGACCTTCTCGCCTTTTGCCGAGAAGCACCTGCGGAGTTTACCGACCACCAGCGCGAAGTCTTCTGCGTCTTCAGCGGTACCGGGGTTCTGCGTCTCCGTGCCTTTATGAACACCAATGGTGGAGAAGATGTGGATCGTGAGACCGATGGCTTTGGCAATGATGACGGCACCATGTACCACGAAGATGAAGAAGGCGATAACATGATGACTATGACAGCGCAAGCGAACATCATGGCCATTGACGAGGAAGACGAGTTTGGCAATGACAGCGAAATGGCGGGTCAAGACTAGTTCTGGAACAGTCGAGCTCTCCCATCATTGTCTCACGATTCCTCTTCCCCCTTCATTAGCATATATCAGGAGTTGTTGTTTTTTGGGCTGTGTTTCTGCGGTCTTTGTAGCATTGTTAGCGCGTACATGGGAACATGGTTTGGTCTGGTCTGGTCTATTTCACGACAAAAAAAGACGTGAAAAAACGCAAACGATTGGCCCTGGAATGGGGTTCCCCTTCCCGCATTGGCGGGGCATGATTATACCCTCTATGTTTATTTTTTGTTTCTAATTATTGTGAAGAGGAGAAAGATGACAAGAGTAAGGAGAGAGAGAGAGAGGCATGGCAGAAAGCTAGCAATAAAGCAAACCATTTTTTTTTCTGTAACACAACGGCTATCATGTATAAAATGAACCGAATGAATAATTTCAAGACTTCTTCTTCTTCTTCTTCTTCGACATAAAAGTACAAAAGCGTTCCTATTCATCTAACTTGAAAACTACATCCCCCCTCCCCCCCCTTCCCTTTTCCTTTCCCTTCCCTTCACTTCTCTCTATCTCTCTCTTAGAAAACTTCACCTCATCAACCCACACATACACCCACAATCCGGCACAGGACACATAGCATGTCTCGCAAACCAATCCCTAGCATGATGGCCATGAAATCCATGCGTACAACTCATACAAAAAACCATGAGCCTCGCCTCTCGATCCTCTCCCTTGAGCGTCTCGTAGCCTCCCTGGCGGGCTGGATCCGGGGTACCGAGCCACAACATGCAGAGGGCACAACGCGGCATTTGGGCGGAGCAATTGGGGCAGTGGAGACCGGGTGTTGAGGAGGCTTTTGAGGGTTTTTGGGGGGGCTGGGGTTGGGAGGAGGTGCCTGGGGGTTTTGCGGCAAAGGAGGTGCGGTGGTGGTGTTGTTGTTGGTATTGTTGTGCTGGTCCTGGTCCTGCAGACTGGGGTAGTGCAGCACCAGCGGGTGTAGAGGTGAAAGTAGGGAGTAAGCGCCCTTTTGCTGTTTTTGCATCTTTTCTTAGTGCGAGGTTTTGTTGGCAGTTTAGACAGCGGATTGTGAGGCTGGGTTGTTGGGGTTTGTTTACGCTGCGGCCTTCGCGCGTGACGGAGAGTTGGTTGTGTTCTTTTATGTAGCGGGTGCGTTCGAGGAAGGTGCGGTAGGTTTGGAGGTGCTCGAGGTATGTGTCTTTCCAGAGCGTCCAGCGCGGGTCTTGGATGTATAGGGGACAAGCACGGCTTAGTAGTAAAACTGCGTTTTGCAAGCCCGAGCTGGGTTGTTGGGATATGTGGACGGTGAGGAGGTCGAGGGAGCGCGCAGTGAGACCTGTGAGGAGGAGCCCGGATATGTCACCCGTGCGGATGGCGGTGTTTGTAGCGGAGGTGAGGAAGGTGGAGAGGGACGAGTCTGGGAGGTATTTTAGGGCTACGGCAACACGGTCGTGGAGCGAGATTTGCGGCATATGGACTACGCTGGTCCAGTCACCGGTTATGAAGTAGGTTAGGAGGGATTTGAGATACGGGTTTGGTGTCATGTCAGCCATCCAGGCGCAGGCTTCGCGTTGGTCGGCTGAGACGCCCGAGGAGGGTGAGGCGCAGGCTATGACGGCTGCGAGGCTGATGTCGTCTTTTGGAAGCTTTTTCGCGGTAAGTGTGCTACGGAGGAGTGCCAGGGCAATGTCTTTGTAGCCCTGGAAGACGGCGAGGACAATGGCTTTGTAGATTTCGCCGGCGGAAACGAGATCGTTGCATGTCTTTTGGACGCCGGATTCTTCCAATGACCAACCGCAAAGACTGAGGCAGAGTTGGCGGTTCTCTGGGTATTCAGTGGATACGCCTTGGAAAGGAGGTAATTCCATTGCTTCGACAATCTCCTTCACCGCATCGTGGAACATTTCTTGGCTTGTTTTTGCGTCCGGGTCGATCAGTCGTTCGTCGTACATTGTCAGTTCGTTGGCCCATATCGAGCTTACACCGAGGTACTTCAGGTCAAGTCCGTTGCCTACCATACCGTCTCCTGAAGCATGGGCATCCATTCTTTCCACTAATGTCCATGCATCGACTAGGAGCGGGTTGTTGGCAACGACCGCTTTGTTTTTAGCGCAGTTGAGCGAGTAACCCTCCTGCACTCGCCTTTTGGGTACTTGGAGTATAGCGAGGAAATCTGAAAGTGGAAGTTTGACGTCGAGTCCCTCTTCAAGTCGAGGGAGCTCCGGTTGGCTAGCACTTATCTGTAAACTGTCTATGCTCGCTGATAGATCTGCTTCGTTTCTAGCATCTCTTCTCTGCTTTTCGCGCAGCGCTCGTTTCTGCAATGCAATCATATCTTCCGCGACTGTGCCATTTGGTGGAGTCGCCTTGGCAATGCAAGTGCGATCTTTGTAAATCTCCTCGAAAGCACTAACGTTGAGTCGTGGAGGTGATAATGGTACTTTGAGCACTTCAACTTCGCGGTTGGAATGAAGACCCAGTGCACATTGTCCTTCAAGTGGGCTGCCAACACTCATAAAATCGTACGCTACTATACGTTGTTTGTTACTTTGCCGATACTCCTTGCCATGCGCTGGGTACCGCAGGTGATGCATTGTTTTAGTGTAGTAAGGAGACGCCCATGCACGTGCAAACGGAGTATCTGCAGTTTCTGTGGGCTGGTGAGAGTGCTGAGCAAGTTCAATGACTTTAAATTCGCCAGTATTGGCAAGCACACCGAACGTCGCTCTCTTGGTTCCAGAATACCGAAGACTCCATATTGATGCGGATTGCGAGTTGTCTACGATAGGCTTGAAGTCTAAGACGGCGCCGCTGCTCGTACTGTCACCAGAAGTTGCACGCTGCTTGACAAAACGTGCATCCCATACTGTCACAGTTGGATCGCCTGCCGAGCCCGCTGACAAAAAGTAATTCTCGTCCATGGGATCTATGGCAATGTTATGTACTTGGCGCGTCTGAAACTGTGCAATGCCTGTTGTACTCGAGTCTGTATGGTATGAGCAAGACTGACATTCGCTATCGCTATGTAAACACACCTCTCAAATCGTAGATGCGCACATATTGCCTCGACACACCAGCGACGAGCATTTCTGGTTGCCTATCAAAGAACTTGATACTCGAAACGGCCTCCGAGCTTGCCAGTTTCTTGTAAGGATCATCCTTGGCCGTGACTCGTGAATCATTCATATCGTAGATGTTGAGGCAAACATCATTGCGCACTCTGTCTAGACCAGCTGCCAAGAGGTTCTTCGAGCTAAAGGCAATTGCGTTGCATTTTCTTTGGTGTCGTATGGAGAAAGAGTGGATGTAGTCGCTGTCAGGCTTGTCTGGGTCAAGTGCAACGAGGGTAGCCTCTCCAGAAGTTGATCCTATCGCAACCAAATTTGGGTCTTTCTTCGACCAGTCAAAGGCCGTGTAGTTTGGCAGCTTGTCGCGGATACATATTTGTTTGTAATTGACCTTGCTCTTACTGAACTCATCAATCTGACACAGACGTAGTCGATTGCTTGCAATATCGATGATTATAAACCGAGGATCGGCCTGCGTCGAGTGCGGTGACCACCTGATTGCCGCCTCCATTTCACCAGTCAGTGGCCGTGGCTGTGTTACGGTTCAAATTGGTGATTTTTCGGTGTTTCGAATGTGTCATTAGCCATTAACGAGCGATTTGAAGCAGCAAAGAATGAGCGAATCCATAGACATTGTGTTATTGTATCAGTTGCCTGCAGCATGGACGACCATGGGTGAACGCCCGACGCGTGACCCACCTTGGCGCAGACCGGGCGGTCAGACAACCTTAATTCTGCCGCCCCACTAAAACTTCCCTTTGCTCCATTCCAAAACTTTCCTGTTCAACTCCATTCGTCCTTCAGTCTACCACAATGTCGCAAAAGCGCAAGCACACCGAAGCTTCCGAAGCCTCGAATTCCGCTCCTAAGCCGTTCAAAAGACACCGCGCTTTCAAACCAGGGTCGGGTCACCAAAAACCGAAGAAGCGACCACAGGTGTCGAGTGACATTGACAAGAGCACCAGCACCCATGCGCTGAAGAGCAGGATACGGGATTTGAAGCGTCTGTTGGCGCATGTTGACAATGTGGGCGACCACAAGATGTCGGCAAGCAGTCGGATAGAGAGGGAGAGGGAGCTGGAGGCGTGTGAGCATGAGCTGAGAGAGAAGTTGGAGAGTAGCAGGGAAGCCGAGTATAGGAGGAAAATGATTGGAAAGTACCACCAGGTGCGATTCTTTGGTATGAAATTCCTGGGTCAAAACTCATCTGCGAGGATCACATTGCTAACGCGCGCAGATCGTCAAAAGGGCACACGGATACTCAAGAAGCTGAAGAAGGAGCTACAAGGCGAAGAGGACGAGGAAAAGAAACAGGAACTTGCGCAAAAAGTTCACAATGCCGAAGTCGATGTCAACTACGCTATATACTATCCGCTGATGAAGCCATATGCTTCTCTATACCCAAAATCGAAAAAGGAAAAGGCAGCGGATTCGGATGAGAGCGGGGAGGGTGATTCTGGCGACAAATCGAATCGCGAGGCTGACGGACCCAAGGGAGACGTAGCCATGTGGAAGACCGTTGAGGAAGCCATGGCAGAAGGCACGCTGGACGCATTGAGGAATAGAAAGGAAGACTTGCCAGCACCAGCGCCTGCAAAGGAAAAGAAGAACAAGAAGCTGGACCAAACTATCAAGAGTAAGGAAAAGAAGATAGCAGGAAAACTTGCTGCAGCGAAGAACCGTCGTGAGAGGAGAGCTTTGGGTGTCCAGGCTCAAGAAGAGGCAGAGGAAAGCGATGGTGGTTTCTTCGAGTAACATGCCACTTTTATCACAGCGTGGCCGATCGCATTATACCCGGCGAAAATGTCGTCAATATCATTACCCTGAAGCGCGCGTCGCACCAATGGATATATGAATGGTCTAAACAGCAACAGCCCTCGTATACATAATCTCTGCAAAGGGATCCTCCCTCTCACTTGCTTCCTCCGTGAACCCTAACTGGATGCG